GCTTTAAGGCACCATATTTATGTAATAGAGGCATGAAATGAGATTCCTTTTCTGAAAGGATTTTGGGACCTTTTAATGAGTCCATTGATTTTTAAAGGTTTTGTTTTTGTAAGTGTGCCAGGCTGAAAGGACACACAGTATCGCCTGTGTGCGATTAGCTTTAAGTACCAAACGACAGACTGCTACATCGATTTACTAATAAAGGCAGGATTGCCTGGTGTGCAGCACGAGTCACGACGGACCCAGGGCCCAGGTCCGGCAGCTGCTGCCTCCCGGGCGGATCCACGCGCCCAGAGGCAGGGAGCAACGAGCCTGGGCCCCAGCCCGGTCCCGTCCACCTGCCCCGTGGTGCGGGCGCAGCCGTGCGCACGGAGGAGCTGGTCAGTGCAGCGCAGGTCCCGATAGCCCCATAGCCAGGGCAGTGCAAGGGCCAGCACTCTCTCGGGGCCTGTGGCTTTGCCCCGGTCAGGCCCCGGGCTCGCTGGCCCACAGGGACCCCCCTGCGCTGCAGCAGATACTCCCCAAGCCTCTACGCAGCGCCACGGGGCTCCAGGCGCCGGGGCAGGTCAGTGAGCGGACACGCCGACACGTTAAATACTCAACAGGCCGGCACTGGGAACAGGTCACTGGTCAGCTGTTCTCACTGGGAACCATCGCCGCACGCCCAGCTCTGCGGAGGCCCGGTCCACGACCACGGAGGTTGCTGGGGCAGCTCAGGGCTGAGGCTGTGCCCCAGGCTCACGTCATGGGAAACAGGTGAGGGCTGCAGGGGATGCTTTCGAGCGGGGCACTCGTGACTCAACCTGCTGCTGACAACAGCGACAGCAAACAGCAGAAAAGGCCGTTTTACACTTCGCTATCGACCAGCCTCTCTCACCAGTCGCGCGCCTACCTCCGCCAGCCGTCTGCCAGAGGGCAGCGCCGACTTGGCCCGGTCCGTGCACTGCCAGGCTGCCAGGAACAATTTACAGCCCCTCTGCTCGAGAAAGAAAGCAAACCCATCTGTTCCCGACGTTCCCGCCATCGCCGCCACCCCCCCCTCATTCGCTGGGCAGAGAGGAAAGTGGAAATGATTTATGCAGACAGACATATGCAAGATTTCTGCTGAAACGTCTCAATACTCAGCACATCCCACATGAAATGGGGCTCGTGCAGGGGACCACGAAGCCAAGGGGTGATGAAGTCCTCTCTGGTGCACCTGAAGCACGGAGCCGGTGGCAGCGGGCAGGGACAGGCAACAGCCAGCGCATGGACGCCAGCACGACTGGCAATGCTGTGCGATGGGGGCATGGGTTGCAGGAAATCCCTGCTTGTCATGCTTGTCACCCGGAGGCTGAGGAAGGACAGTCGGGAGCTCGGCGGCGGTCCCCTCTGCCCACTTACGCTCTAATAAGATCAACCCTTGCTGCCGCCTCTGAGCATCTCCTGCTGTCACAGAGCAGGTTGGTAGCAGACCCGGGAGCGACTCGCAGGTATCGTGACTGCTTGTCCCAAGCCCCGCGCACCCAGCCTTGCCTCCCGCATTACCTGCGCTCTTCACACCGAAAGCAAAGGGGGCGTCAGGCGTGCACCAGAAGAGATGTCTCCAAGCTGCTCGGGCCCTCCAGCTCCTCCGGCGGTGATGTGTCCTGCTGGGCGCGGGACTGTGGCTACACCCTGCGATGCCGGGCCCTGGTTAAATGGACTCTCGTGCATACAGTGTGCCTAGGTCCCCCCACACCTTGTGCCTGGACTTCAGGCTCAAGTTCCCAACACGGCTAATGCAAAGAGTAGATGTGCAATTGGACGTGGCCCGTTCCCAGGTGCTGGCCTGATTCGCGGTGCTCATCCCAAACACCGAGTGCGCTGGGCTCTGCTTATGGCCTCCTTTCAACCACCGGCAGTTGCAGGGCTGGGCATCGTGGCAGGGCTCAGACCCCTCTAGACTGGGCAGAGCACGGCTGCCCTGCGTGAAGCCCTCAGCCTGGCGCCTCCTGCCCAGTGTGCGATCGCAGGTCACACGCCAGCTTCACCCAACTGCCGCCCCAGGATGACCCCACGACGGCTCCAGCGCCCGCGTCCAGCCCCATGCCTGGGACGCAGCAGCTCAGGCCGAGGCAGGCGCAGTGCCTGGGCACCTGCAGGAGACCGGAGGGTCATTGCTCTGCATGCCTGGGGCCCTGCAGGATCAGGCTCTGAGGGGCACTCTTGCAGCCTGGGGCCTAGACCTCTTTTGCCGGACTCTGTCGTGGCCTCACAAGCATGAGCCCAAACCTGTGCCCTCGGCAGCCTCCACAGAGGAGCAGAGGGCAACACCCCGCGCAGCCAGGGCCCATCTCAGATGAACCACATCTCGCCCCCTCATCGTGCCCAACTTTCCTCCAGGGCCACTGATCCCTGCAGTAGGTGCGGAGGTGCAGAAGCAACCCAGGCTGTTCCCAGCACACTTTCCAGAGGCAGATGCAAACCCAGACCCAGACCCAGCTCCCTTGGTTCAGGGCAGGTCTTAATTGTTCAGCTACAAACAGCTAAAGAGAAGAGAGTGGCTTTGAGCCTTCCTCTTCCCCAGATCCAGCGGAGGCCCAGAGCCAGAAACGTTCGTCCCGCTCGTCCCTGGCATGGGACGGGGCAGCTGGCAACTGCCTCCCGTTCACCCCCTCTGCAGCCAGCAGCATCTCGTGGCAGCTCCGAGAATCATCCGCGTAATGAACAGCAGAATCGAGTGCTTGTTTTCAGCCTCCTTTGGGGCAAACGTGGCAGTTGGAGAGGATTTACCCTTCGCCCTGATTTATCTCGGTCCGTGCTTCTCCGGGCCCAGCCGGGTCGGGTGGGAGTGCAGAGCTGGCGGTGATGTGGGCACCTTCCAGGGGCTGGGAAGCAGCTGCAGAGGGCATGGGTGCGTCCAAGCGGGGCACGGCCACGGCCACGGTCACGGGCAGCGCCCTGCAAAGGAGCGCTCTTACCGGGAACGCCGGGGCTACACGTCCCCCGCGGACACCCAAATCCAGGACTCCTGCCCACTCCACGGAGACCGCCCCACGTTGCTCCCGTGAGACCACCGACCGCGGCTCAGCCTCCTGCAGTGGCACCCGCAGCCAGGAGACCGCCCAGACCATGCGCAGGTGCTGCACGCCAACACCTCCAGCCATGGCTGCGCAGATGGCTCTTCACAAGCTGCAGCTTCACCTGCCTCTGTTAGTGCTGTGCTGGGCGGCAGAGCAATCGTTGAGGGGGAAAAGGCATCGGAGCTAATGACTCTGGTCCTGGTCCAGCCTGGCGCAGCCGGGGAGGAGAGCTAGCTGCTCTGCCTAACGGCTGCTGCTCTCTTTACTGGGCAAAAGCTACACCACCGGGCTGCGGAGGGATGCGAGACATGGGGCTGGGGCAGGCTCACTTCCTGCCAGGGCTGGAGCAAGAAAGCTCCCCTGGGGAGCGCACGCTTAGCAGGGATGCGAGCAAGGGGATGCACCGAGCATGCTGCAGGCACTGGGGTCATGACACACGCACCCGCTGGCACCCCCAGGTCCTGACACCTGCAGGAGACACGAGGTCTGCGTCCGGCCCAGCCACCTCCCCCTGCATCCTCAGCCTGTCTGGAAGACGAGCGAGCAAGAGGCTCCTTGCACCCCTCTACGCCAGGGCGGTGTGGTGTGGCACGCTCCCTGCCTGGCTGACGGCGCCCGGGGCCAGCTCCTTCTCTGCTCACGGGGCGCTGGCTGCATCCTCTTGGCCCCTCTCCTCACCCATCCTGCCGCTCCGGCACGGGGACACTCGGCCACCCTCGCCCCCGGGACAGCATTACATCTGTAGCCCGGGCCCAGGACCCCGCGGCCCTCGCACTGCTCGCACAGACGCCGTCAGCGCCTGGCCCTAGACCCCGGCCCTGCACACACATCTGTCCTCACGACCCTCGGGGAGCGGGGAACAAACACTGATATCCCTGCTGCTTCCAAGCTCTTCACCCTGGTAATTAAGGCCCAGCCCGTCCCTTCTTGAGCCATGAATCCCTGATATTTAATGACATTTTCCAAATATTTTTAATAGAAATTTTAGGTCTTGTTCCTAATCTGACATTTATCTTCTATTTAACACGGAAAACAAATACAGGGCCGGCGAATCATTGCTCAAATTGTAAATGACTTTATTGTTGGTTTTATTACCTTCCCTATTAAGCTGTCACAATCTGTGCCTCTTCCCCTTTTGGTGACAACCAGCCAGAGGAATCTGTCATCTTTCCCCTATGATTTATACTGGACCCTGGTGACATCTTTACTTGGGGAGAGGGTAATTAGCAAACTACCTCATTAACGCGGCTTCGCCGCCCTCAGGGACGAGTGTCAGGAAGGTTAAAACGTTGACAAGCAATAAGGCTGCACAGGGCGCTGCGGCACGGCGGAGGGGCTGGCCTCCGAGACGGCCGCATCCCGGCTCCTCTGCCGGGTCGGAGGTTGCCCGAGCTCAGTGTGGAGCACGGACGTGCCCCGACCCACCGACACGAGTCTGCCCACGCGCGCCGGAGGACGGGGCCGCTCAGATCGCAGGGCTTCCCACCGGCCTTTGTCCCCTTGCCCTTTTTCCCCCGTTCAGCTGAAGGCGTGATAAACCGGGGAGTGCAGAAGTTGGCAGCCGCAAAACGCACACATTGATTTCTTCTGGGATTGGAGCAGCAGGTGTGTGTCTAGAATATTGGCCTAATCTGAAGGATTTTACTGAGATAAATTGGCCTTTGGTTCAGGCACTAACAGCGAGAGGCACAGAGCAACTTGGCGGCACATCAGAAGCGAGACTATAAAGCTAACCTTGGTCACTCCTCTGGATCCGCTATTGTTACATGAAGAGGAGCAGATCTGGGACTCGGAGTTCATAAATAATTTCCCATGGAAAGCACGTCTGCCATCCAGACGAAATCTCTCCCAGAGAAAATGGCGAAAAGTGGTAGATTTAACCTACTTCAAAATGTCATTTTTTGAAAAAAAAAAAATTGATCCACATCTCTGCTGAGGGAGGCTTCAAGAAGGCGCATGTACTGCGGCTGCATGCTAAGCGCCGAGCCCTGCACGGGGCTGCGGGCGCCGGAGCAGCTGGCGGCAGGCTGTGCTGCTAGCTTGGCCCTGGAAAAGTGAGTGGAAATGTGTGCCCCCCCCCCTTCCTCCAGAGAAACCAGGCACATGAGCTAGGAGCTGCTCGCTAGCTCCAAAGGCTGATAGCTCGCCCGCTACATCACGCCTCAGCACCCTCTGCGCTGCACAGCTGGGCGCCACGTTAATCCTTTGCATGGGACCCATTCAGAGCACGGGACTTCCTTCTGCGCAGGGGAAAGGGGCCGGAGGGGTGCGACGTCCATGCTGCGCCAGGCTTGGTGGTGATCTGATGTACAGCTTAGCGACGGGTCGTCCAGGCTGGCTTGGACGGGGCTGATCCTGCCTCAGGCAAGGCCTGGACGAGGTGTGACCTCTGCAGCCCCCTGCTCCGGGCCATCTACGACTCCTGTTACAAATCGCCGGTGAATCACGATTGCACACCTTGGTGCTGACACTGCGTGGCACCCTGCAAGGGTCTCAGGGCGCCCCAGGGGACCGCGGCTGCCAGGTCGAGCAGGGCTGGCCCCGGGAGTGTCAGTCATTGCAGGAGTGGGGCGTCCCAGCGCATCCCCCAGTAGCAGCCGGGGAAGGGGCCGAGACTCAGGTTCACCTCACAGAAGAGGCGGATGCTCCAGCTCGCCTTGGCCCAGCAGAGAACCGCGACCAGGACAGACTTGCTGCTGTGCGAATAGCACGAGTCTCGTTATTGTAGCTGCTGGCGGCGCACAGATCGCCCCGGGCCTCCTCCCTGTCCCTGGGGTGAGCCCGAAGCTGCCCCCCGCGAGCATCCCCAGCCGGGCAGCAGGGCCAAGGCAACACCCGCGGAGAGCCCGGGGGCTGCCCATTCTCGCTGTCCCCGGTCAGCCGGAGACACCGCCACGGCCGGCGCTGCACTCCACTCGCCCGGCTGGGGCCACGTGTGGCAAACAGGGCAGCGTCGCCCTGAAGCCCCAGCCCGGAGCCCGCAGTGCCCGGTGCAGCCCCGCGGCACCCCGAGCTCACCCAGGCCTGGGGCACTTCCCAGCTGGCTTGGGATCGGTGCCCAGGGCTCGGCAAGCTCCTTGGGGTACAGGTCATCGGGTCTTGCACAGATGAGTTTGAGATCCTCAGGAGCCGGTGGTGGAGTTCCTTGCCCCTGGGCAATGCCCCCGGCCCCGCAAACACAGGAGACACCCAGCACGGCTGCTGCTCCGCCTCGGGGCGGATCCGGGATGCGCCCCCGGCTGTGACTTCGTGTGCTGCTGGGCACTGAAAGGACTTCTTACTGACCTGCCCCGGCCTGGCAAGGCCATTAGCTTCCTTTGCGCTGACTCCTGACTACCGCTCATCCATCCGCTTCCCTGGTTTCCCCTTTGCTATATAAGAATTTTTATTATTCTTATTTTTTAATTGCTGTTTTCACAACCCATCTTGATCAGGATGCTTTTGGCAGAAGGCTTCTTCCGGGATTGTGGGACTCTGGTTATTTTGGGCATCTAGTACATCCTTCTTAAGCAGCTCCTGAAGTTCATTCAAATTTCTGTTCACATTTTCCTTTTCACTCCATTGTGTACCCCACAGCTTTCAGCTTTGGGAGCGGTGTTTCCAAACCACCATGGCTGTCCTTTGCTGGACAAGACCGTGTTTTTGGTGAAAGAGCCCCAATTCTTACCGCGTGATACTGAGCACAACCATCATCGTATCTACCAAAACTTAGCTATTGCAAGAGAGCTCTTCCCTGCCATGGATGGCCCTTCATGCCGGCAGACAGGCACCAGGGGAGACCTGCTGTGGACAAGGTAGCCCCTCTCTCTCGGACAATGGAGCGTAATTAAATATGTAATCTGATCTTCTCTGTAAAATGAGCCTGACACCTTGACCTAAACCCCACTTTGTTTCACAGCTGCAGGTGAACAAGCTTTGTGGCAGGATCTTTCTGCAAAACAACAAGGAGCTTTGGCTGGCCCCGGGCACTGCACAGCTGCCAGCACCTCCTTGGCTGGACCAGGCATTGCAAGGAACCCAAATCCCTTTCCTAAAGTCCGGGATTTTGGCCTCAACTTTTGCCCACAAAATGCAAAGACGTTAAACGTCTGATAGCCCAGAAGAGGACGAGGAGGCTGCCGGGGGCCAGGTGGAAAGTTAATAAACCCAGCCCCTGGTGAGGTTTGTAATTTACTTTGGGGATGTGAAGTTCAGGGAGAGGGTATTTCATGCATCTGCCTAACAGCAACTTCGAGAATCCACCGGGGATCTGTTTAATACCTTGGAAAAGGTTAGCGTTGTTAGGGATTTACTGCCATATTTGAAATGGTTTAAACTATTATTTTTATTTCCTTGAGTAAAATGGAATGTCAGTGAATCGTGCAAAGTGAGATGGTCAGTTTGTGTCTGAAAGGGGCTATAAAAAGCCTGGGCAATTTTAAATAGCTTTTCATCCTGTCTGCCTGGTAGCACACAGGGAGCAGCTGTCAGACCCGGGGAGCAGGGGCGGGCGCCCCATGTCTGCACCCGTCTTCACTTGGGAAAGCAGCAAGACCCAGGGAGGGGTCTCCCCTTCGGCTCGCCAGACGTCCCTGCTTGCTTCTGGCCCACGTGGCAACTCTTCCTGGGTTTCAGGAGATGCCCAGAGGGCAATGCCAGGCAAGGCAGCGTGTATACACACCCAGACACCACCCCGCACCAGTGCACAGCAATGGCCCTGCTCCTCGCATGCAGCCGGCAAAAAGGCAGTTACTTGAGAAACTTGACATCCGCCACGTGCAGCTTGCAGAGCCATGAGCGGTTTCCTGCGGAGGAGGTCAAGGGCACCGGTGCCTCCCGCTGCGCGTTTTGGGGGTATCTGATGGCCTCCAGTTGAGGTCGTTCGTGCACCGCACTGCCACAGCGGTGGCTGGAATCGCATCAGTCATTTCGTGCAGCAAGATAAATGTGACTGGAGGTGGCGTGTCAACCTCAGCAATGGCTTGAGACAGCGAGGCGCCGGGGAGGAAACAGCAGGTTTCAGTAACCACTATTGTACTGGCCCAGGGATTATCACGGGGCAGCACCGAGCCCCCACGCTCCCACGGGGAGCAGAATCGATGGTGCCTTGTGATGCCGCTCCATCCCTGCGGTGTCCAAATTGTGCACCCAAATTGTGTCCTGGCCTACGGCCTTGCCCCCTTGCCCACCCACCCACCGCCAGCCGGGACCCGGCTGCCCATGAGCTGGGAACGCTGCAGGGTCCAACCCG